CTGGCGCCCCGAAGACAGACGCGCGCACTCCGACGACGCGACGTCCTGGCCATCCAAGATCACGACGAACTCGCGAACTCTCAGGGCCCCAGGTTGCAGATTAAAGTCGCCGCCGATGATGTGCGACGCGAGGCTCGACCCTGCAACGCCGACGCGCGCCCGCGAGGCCGACGCCCTGCGCGCCCCGACCAAATCACCTTCGGACCCATGCATGCGAGCGGAGATCCCGCGCCGAACCACTGCCCCCGCAGAGGGGCCACCATCGGCAATCGCCTTAGCTCTTAGCTCCCGCTAACAATCCATTCAATCGTTGCCCATCTTGACCCGGGCAATTGTTGCCGCGCCAGCCAGGCAGCGCCCCTGCAACAGTGCTGCGCGAACGCTGGTGCCCGGTGGCCAACTCTGGGCAGTGGGCCTATCTGCGCATTTCCACGCGCGCATCTCCAGACGGACCCCCCCAAGGACTGGGGGGGGGCACCCAAATCTTTGAAGTTTCCGCGCCGCTCGAACGAAAGGCATTCGAAGTGGCGGGAGCCGGCAGGCTGAGATTGCCGCGCGCTGTCGAGCGGGCGCAGACCGCGCCGCGCAAGTCACACATTGAACGGCTATATCCGCCCGTGGCCGCTGGTCCACTGTCTGCCTTCAGCAGCGCGCTAACTTAGACGGCAGAGTAGATGGGCGCTCGGACTGACACTGCCACACCTCCTTCGCGCTAGTGATAGAAGCGCCAAATCTGCAACGACCTCTCGGAAACAAAAACTCAGGTCTCGGCAAAATCAGTCACAACTTACGCCGCGCACCGAACTCCCCGCAAATTGGCGCCCAGACCAGCCGGGGAGGGGGGCGCCTGACTATGCGCCGCCATGAGCAGCCGCAGCACGAGAGCGAACATCAGTTTCTGGGGTCTTCGGCGCCCCAGCAGCCCCAGCAGCCCCCTGGCCTCCCGCGCCACCTCGGGCCGCCTCGCTGCCGCCAGGTCGTGGCTGAGCTGCTGCCGCTGGCGCTCCGCCCGCGTGCGCGTCGCCGTTATCGCCCTTGCGCTTCTTGCCCACGCGCTACAAGCGTTGGGCCTGCAACTCGCGGGTCTTCAATGTCTTGCCCACCGCGCCGGCGAAGAGACTTTTGCCCATCATTTGAATCAGCTCAAATGGCCTGGACCCGCCTGGCCTCCATCTCGTCCTTGTCGGTTTGGGGTGCCTCGTAGACCGGCCCGTCAAACTGAAAAACGGAATCCACTGGGATTCCTCGTAGCCCCGCACTGCCATGAGGGACATCTGACACGTCGACATTGGGCGCACCTGGCGCAAAAAGAGGAACTAGCTTCCGCTGAGTGCCACCAGCAAGCTACTCGACACAGGCCTTTTATACTTCTCGTCATGGTTATCAAATGCATCTCGGACAACCTGTGTTGCTGGCTGCTTCCTGGCGCGCGCCTCCTCGCACTTTGCCAAAAACGCCGAGCGCAACACATAACTTTCCTTCGCAAAGTCGAACAGCTGAGTGGACTGCGGCCGCCCCCTGTTGAACAAAAACTGATACCAACGCCTTGCTCGGACGATCGAAGGTGTTCCCGTCCCTGCCGCGGCCTTGTGGTCGCCGACCTTGTGACGAACCCCACCGAAGTGCGCAACTCGTCGGTTGACACGCCACTACCATCTGCCCATCCAATGGCCGAGTGCTGCCGGTACTGCTGCTGAGGCCCAAGCACCAGCAGATGAGTACCATCAGTATTGCCATGGACCCACATGTCCTCGCCGTCGTCGTCGCAGCTCCCCCCTGCACCGCAGCGCTCGCAGGAAGAACAACTCGCACCCTTATTCGTGCATCCGCAGTGTCCACAGCGCCAGCGCATCTCGGACCACTGCCTCTGAATAAGTGCTCCGTCGTGCGCATCATGGCGTGGGGGCGGTCCGCAGGAGGTGTATGGAGCCGCGAGGAACCTCCAAGGCGGCCCCGAACGCTCTCCACCTCTCGACTGGGACCATTCTTGCCGTGGGAACACCACTGGCGCTGCTGCAGCTGCTGCTGCTGCTGCTGCTGCTGCTGCTGCTGCTGCCCGCCATTGCCACCCAGGGACATCACTGGAACTGAAGACAGCGCGAAAGAACTCCAATCTGGTTCGCCCCTGCAGTGCCGTCCTCAAGTTGGCAAGTGCAAGCTTAAACATAATGCCTGAGCCAGGACGGCTTGGGCAGCGATGAGGATGATGACCACCAGGAGAAAGACGCAACTGCATAAATAGGGTTGGATCCTTCGCCAAGCAAATTGTGTCACACGGCTTCCAAGGGACGCATACTTGATATTTGTGTGCTGTGCGCTGGCTTAGACACCATGCACCATGGTGCCACCCCAGCGCCAGCTTGCCTTGGCTTTTGACTGGGATGGTGGGGGTACCGAATAATGCCCGACCAGTGCTGCAACGTGCATTGGCACACCTGACGCAGTCTGCGCGCATCGCGCACGTGGCGCGGCCGGAACATGTGGCACAGTTGGCCCACGCGGAGCACGTGGCGCATCTGGCGCACCACTTGAGCTTGACATGATTGGGCCTCTGAGGCCCCTGGTGCACCCGGTGCGCGTGGCGCACCTGGCACGCGTGGCGCACGCGGCATCCCAATGGCTATCCATCCGATGGCTACCTCTGTCTATGACGGGCCTCGGGAATAACTTGCATGAAGGGGATGCGAGTGGTGTGAGCGAGGCAACTGGTTCGGGCGCACTCTGACATGTGGATCTGGCGCGTGGGCACTAAATCCATGGATCAGGGAAAATCCCCGCAAAACATGAGCCTAATGCCGCGTGATTGAGCGAAGAAATTCGCTGACTCCGCACGGAAACGGGACCCGTTGGCAGTCCACGCACCATAATCTATGGTTGCGCTTCCTCGACTTGACCCCTCTCCCTGCCCCGTCCCCTGGTTTTGGACGCATCCCCCCCCCGTCCCCTATGACCACTCAGAATATCCACAACGGCCCAAGAAGGCTCCAATAGTGCCACAGCTGGCCCGAGATGACTCCGGATGGCCGTTCCCCAGGGTACTTCCAAGCGGCCTAAAGAGCTTCAGGAAGAAACCAAACTATGGGCTCTGGAGGCCTTGCGCTGGCTAGTAACCAGGTCCGTGTGTGAAAGCGTACCCCTCGGTCGGAAGAGGTAGGTAGAAGCATGAGGAGGGAAATCGATGAAAGTAGATTGGGCTCCGACCGCCCCCCAAGGAGGACGGAAAAGGTGAAGCCACTCGATCATCTGAGTAGGAATCGCAGTCCTGATCCTGCTCGTTCGCCTCCTCCCTCCTCCTCCTCCCGCCTCTTCCTCCTCCCCCTCCTCCTCGTCCGCTTTCCCCGCGACCCTTTCGTATCCTCCTCCTCATCTCCTCCTCCTCCTCCTCCTCCTCCTCTCCTCCCCCTCCACCTTCTTGCCCTAGGAAGGCGCTTAAAGTATATTGGAATCGGAATCTGGAAATCCAAAAACACCTACTTTCAACGACCGATGGGTAAATGGAACATGGAAGCCACCCGCGAGTGAAGACCGTTTGTGGTCGACGCGATGTGTGTTCTCAAGCTTCGCTGTGCATCGTTATGACTCGGATCGGGTCGGGCATCTCCTCCTACAGGCGGATTGAGAAGAAACGTGCAGCATAGTCAAAACATATTCAAGACTAGTCAAACATAGTCGAAACATCGTCCCGATACTATGTGTTTGCTATGCTTGAACAGTCTTCCTGTAGAAGGACATGCCCGACTTAATATTAGGAGCATGCGAACCGGCTTATGCCGAGTGGGAATACAATCTAGGTGTCTAAATCAAAGCTGGGCAATCGCATCCGCGAAGTCAGAGCTAGGCAATCTAGGATGTGCAAGGTGTGGACAACATGCGTGGCATGAAGACCATGGCATGCGATGAGAGACAAGGCTGGAGCTCGAGCTGCAGCTGGAGCTGAAGCCGTAGCCGGAGCTCGAACTTGACCGGGGCCGGAGCTGGAAGTGGCCTGGAGCTGGGCAGGAGCTCGGCCTGGAGCTGGGCCTGGAGCTGGGGCCGGAGCCAGCTCCGGAGCACGCGCCGGCCGGATCTGGGCGTCGCAGCTCGGGCTGGCGCTCGACCGAGGCCGGGAGTGCGACTGGGCCGAAGCTGGGGAGCCCGAAGGCTGGAGCTCGGCAGGAGCGGCGCCAGAGCCAGGATTCCCCGGGACTCTCCATCGTTTCTTGAATTCCATCTTCCCCTCTGCTTTCAATACTTCCCCAGATGCTCATTGGAATCGACGATGCTTTGCGCCTGTGCCTGATATGCCCTGCTAAGAAATGGGGAGGCGACGACTGGTGCAAGAAATAGAAAAGAAACGTTCACCCGTCATGCTCGTTGTGGACACCCGGGGACCTCTGTAGGGCCCCTTTCGGGTACGAAAGGTGCACCTATCCTCACCCCCTCATTTAGCGTCCCCCCCAATACGCAACGCCCGAAGCACTCCATGATCGCACACTACGGTGCATGTCTGAAGCCTGACGAGCGCCAACCGCTTCGATGTCCTGAAGTCTATCCAACGCCTGCGGACGGTCTGTGCTGGTCTTGGTGGAAACACAGTCGGCACATACGACACACGATAACAGATCTTGCCATCAGACACATCCCTCGTCGACTCTGAGCTTCGTGAGGCGACCCAGGGCATTTTGTGCGCCCAGTGGAGGAGACACGAGATTATCGCGGGGCACCCCTTGGCGAGGCAGCCTCCTGTTTGGTGCGTCTGCTGTGATCAATCGGGTCCTGGGGACAAGTGCTAGGCTTGGAGGCCTAAAAATGGGCATCAACACCAACACAGGGGGTTGCCTCCACGAGGGGAAGATGATCTTAGATTTCATATTTCGGGGTTGGTGGTAATATTTCGGCCACCTCGGAAGCCAGAATATTACCACCACCACCGAGATCAGGATCTCCTTCCCTCGGTGGAGGCACACCGAATATATTGGTGGTGTCAACCTCTAGGCCTGCGAAAGTGCTAGGCCCCCTGCTCAGGTCGTCCTCGGAGCCGTCGTGGTCCCACTTGACCTTGACCGTGTCCCCGCTAATCCGCAGGCGGGCCACCCAGCCCGCCGCCCAGGCCAGGCACCGCCCCTCCACCCTGATATTCCAGGAGGGCAAAAAAATAGCACCAGGACGTCGACGTCCCAATTCCCGTCGAGGTTTGAGGCAGTCCAGATAGATCTAGAGGTCTGGAGCGCTATTTTTTATCACTCTGGAAGGTCAGGGCAGGAAGGCCCTTGCCTTCTGAGCAGCCCCCCCCGGCTTCTTGGAAGCCCCCCTCCCTCGCGCCCCCCCCTGCAGCAGGACAGGAATGCTGCCATTCGCCCTGCTGGGGATGCGTCCCGGGAGGTCCGGAGCACTTCGCGGCGCTCGGATCCTGAGCCCGTGAGGAGGGCGCCTGCGGTCGCGCAAGTCCCCCGAACGTGGCTGCCAAAAAAAAGCGGAGGAAGCGGAAGTCCCGGGGGAACACATCCCTGTCGAGACGTCTTGCCCCTCCGACCCCGCCCCCGCCCTCGCGGGCCCTCGCCCTTTTTTCTCCCGTCCGTCGCGCCCTGGCCCTCGCCCTCCGCCCCGTGCCCCCCCTCTCTCTCGTCCCCTCTCCCAGCTGCCGCCCTCTGCCCCCCGCGCCCTCCCATCGTGTCCCCCCCCCCCTCCCCCCCTCTTCGCCCACATCCACCCACATCCCACTTCTCTCCCTCTCCCCACTCCTGCCGTCTGTCCCTGTCGTCCTCCTCCTCTTCCTCCTCCTCTTCCTCTCCTCCTTCTCCTCTTCTTCCTCCTCCTCCCTCCTCCCTCCTCTACCTTCCTCTGTGTCTCTCTCTCTCTCTCTCTCAATCTCCTCCACACCCTCACCCTATTGCTCCAACGAAGGAGGGACAAGGAGGCAGGATGAAGGGAGGGAAGGAGGCATTCGAAGGTGACCGAAGAGGGAAGAGGAATAGCAGTCCATTCTCACCTAGAACCGTTTATCAAGGATGGTTGGGGCGGGGGCAAATATTGAACTGCAAACCGTACTCCAGAATGGCTCTCACGTCCAACTCCGTCCTGACTGCATGTCGTTAGCATGGCCAAGCGCAGCGTGCAATGTGTGTGTGTGCGTTGACATGTACACAAAAATAGCCATATCCGCAACCGTGCCTCGAGACACGAAGTGGCGTTACCCACAGGCTCTCATGTGTTCTCTGTTCTCAGTACTCAGGACTGCGGAATTCTAGTATTCTAAAAGCTGAGACCCCAAATTCTCACGTTTCCTGGGCGCTCCGGCGCGTTCCTGAGCTGCCTCGCGTGACTTTTCGAGAGGCCAGAGGGCCCCAAGGATGGTCAAGTGGACCCCAGGAGGCGCCCAAGAGGGCCCAAGAGGCTTCCAAGACAGTCCAAGAGCGCTCCAACACGCCCAAGATGGCCTCAAGACGGCCCGAGAAAAATCCCAAGAGCGCTCCCAGATGGCCCTTGTGCTTGTCAAGTTTTTGCGTTCTCGCGTTTGCGGACTTCCGACGCTCCAAGATGGTCCAAGACGCCCCCAAGACCGGCCCAATAGGTCCCCAAGAAGGTCCCAAGACGGTCCGAGAGGGTTCCGAAGCAGCTCAAGAGGTGCCCAAGATCGCCCAAGATGATCCCAAGACGGTCCTATAAAGGGGAATACGAACAGACAATTCGAGCCTTCCGCCCTAAGAGGCCCCAGGCCCTAGGGAGGCCCCAAAAGGCCCCTAAACGGCCCCCCAAAGGCCCGAAACCTGCTTCTAAGAGGCTTCCGAGAAGCCTCCTACGATATCTAAACAAACATCCCAAACGTCTCCAACCCACAACTCAGGCACGGTCGCGAGATGGGCCGAAGGCCACTAGACCTCGCCCGGCACGAAAACGGAAAGAGCGCGTCAGAAACAGAAACCGAAATTACTCACACCGCCGTTCGTACTGGGAGCCTTGGCGTTGACAGCTTGTTACGTCACCCCTCGCTCTGGGGAGCCTTGGTGTTCAGAGATTGTTGCGTTGCCGCCCGTTCCAAGCATGGGCTGGGCCTTGGTGTCAGGAACTTGTTACGTCACCGCTCTCTGCTGGGAGCCTTGGTCTTATCAGCTTGTTTACGTCACCGTTCGCTCTTGGGAGCCTTGGTGTGAAGAGCTTTTTGCGTTACCGATCGCTCTTTCTTTGGCGTCTCTGGGCCTTCTTGGGAGTCCTATTGGGGCCCTTTGGGAGCCATTTTGGAGGCCTCTTGGGAACCTCTTGGGGGCCTCTTGGGGCTTCTTGGGGGGCTCTTGGGGCCTTCTGCGAGCTTCTTGTGGCGAAAGGCTAAACTTTTGGGTTCTTGGTCCCCCTCTTGGGGCTGTCTTGGGGCCATCGAGAGCCGCCTTGGGCGCCTCTTGGGCCGTCTGGGGGCCCTCTTGGGCAGTTTGGGGGGCCTCTTGGGAGCCTCTTGGGCCGTCTTGGGGCGGTCATTGAGGCCCCTTGGACCGTCTTCAACGCCGTGAAAGCCGAAAAGCCGTGTATGCTAAAAATGTACCTTTCCCCATCGGGAATCCATGATGTTGGCCTCCCGGTGGCCTCTTGGAACGCCTCTTGGGGTCCTCTTGGGGCTTCTTGGGGAGCTCTTGGGGCCTCCTGGGAGCGTCTTGGGGCGAAAGGCTAGACTTTTCGGTTCGTGGTCCCCCTCTTGGGGCCGTCTTGGGGCCCTCTTGGGCCGTCTTGGGCGCCTCTTGGGCCGTCTGGGGGCCCTCTTGGGCCGTTTTGGGCTCCTCTGGGGCTGTCTTGAGGTCCTCTGGGGCATTTTCGGGCCCTGTTAAGGCCTTTTGGAACCGTCGTGGGACGATGGAGCCTCTTCGGCCGTTTGGGGCCGTTCTTGGTCGTATCAGCACCGTTCGCTCTTGGGAGCCTTGGTGTGAAGAGCTTTTTGCGTTATCGATCGCTCTTTATTTGGCGTCTCTGGGCTTTCTTGGGAGTCCTATTGGGACCCTTCGGGAGCCCTTTCGGAGGCCTCTTGGGAACCTCTTGGGGGCCTCTTGGGGCTTCTTGGGGGGCTCTTGGGGCCTTCTGCGAGCTTCTTGTGGCGAAAGGCTTGTCTTGGAGCCATCGAGAGCCGTCTTGGGCGCCTCTTGGGCCGTCTGGGGGCCCTCTTGGGCCGTTTTGGGGGCCTCTTGGGAGCCTCTTGGGGGCCGTCTTGGGGCGGTCATTGAGGCCTCTTGGACCGTCTGCAACGCCGTGAAAGCCGAAAAGCCGTGCATGTTAAACATGTACCTGTCCCCCATAGGAAATCAATGATTGTGGCCTCCTGGTGGCCTCTTGGGACGCCTCTTGGGGCTTCTTGGGGAGCTCTTGGGGCCTCATGGGAGCGTCTTGGGGCGAAAGGCTAGACTTTTCGGTTCGTGGTCCCCCTCTTGGGGCCGTCTTGGGGCCCTCTTGGGCCGTCTTGGGCGCCTCTTGGGCCGTCTGGGGGCCCTCTTGGGCCGTTTTGGGCTCCTCTGGGGCTGTCTTGAGGTCCTCTGGGGCATTTTCGGGCCCTGTTAAGGCCTTTTGGAACCGTCGTGGGACGATGGAGCCTCTTCGGCCGTTTGGGGCCGTTCTTGGTCGTATCAGCACCGTTCGCTCTTGGGAGCCTTGGTGTGAAGAGCTTTTTGCGTTATCGATCGCTCTTTATTTGGCGTCTCTGGGCTTTCTTGGGAGTCCTATTGGGACCCTTCGGGAGCCCTTTCGGAGGCCTCTTGGGAACCTCTTGGGGGCCTCTTGGGGCTTCTTGGGGGGCTCTTGGGGCCTTCTGCGAGCTTCTTGTGGCGAAAGGCTTGTCTTGGAGCCATCGAGAGCCGTCTTGGGCGCCTCTTGGGCCGTCTGGGGGCCCTCTTGGGCCGTTTTGGGGGCCTCTTGGGAGCCTCTTGGGGGCCGTCTTGGGGCGGTCATTGAGGCCTCTTGGACCGTCTGCAACGCCGTGAAAGCCGAAAAGCCGTGCATGTTAAACATGTACCTGTCCCCCATAGGAAATCAATGATTGTGGCCTCCTGGTGGCCTCTTGGGACGCCTCTTGGGGCTTCTTGGGGAGCTCTTGGGGCCTCATGGGAGCGTCTTGGGGCGAAAGGCTAGACTCTTGGGTTCTTGGTCCCCCTCTTGGGGCCGTCTTGGGGCCCTATTGGGCTGTCTTGGGCGCCTCTTCCTCTTGGGCCGTTTTGGGGGCCTCTTGGGCCGGTCTTGGGGGCCTCTTGGGCCGTCGTCAACCCCGTGAAAGCCGCAAAGCCGCGTATGCTAAAAATGCACGCTTCCCTAGGGAAAATCAGAGATTTGGCATCTTGGGGCCCTCTTGGGGCGCCCCTTGGCGCCTCTTGGGGGCCTCTTGGGCGGTCTTGGGCTCTCTTGGAGCGCTCTTGGGCCGTCTTGGAGGGGAACCCGAAAAGCATGCAAAAACCCAAGGCGAAAACCCGACAACGGCCATTACCAACCCTGCGTCTCCGCCTCGCCCCTCCCCTGGGCCGATCCCTTAAGGGCTTCGCCCCACACTAGAACGTCATCACTCGTACCTCGCTCTTTCCGTTACCTGGGCCGGCACGGGAACGGAAAGAACGCTTCAGCAACATGCCCGAGATGGCTCATGGCACCCTTCGCTCTTGGGAGCCTTGGTGGTAAGAGCTTGTTGCGTCACCGCTCGTTCGTGGGAGCCTTGCTGGCAAGCGCGTGATACGTCACCGCTCTCTGTTGGGAGCCTTGCTGGGAAGAGCTTGTTGCGTCACCACTCTCTGTTCAGAGTCCTCGTGCCCCGAGATGCTTCCGTTGCCGCTCGCTCTTGGGAGCCTTGTTGGTAAGAGCTTGTTGCGTCACCGCTCGCTCTTGGGAGACTTGCTGGTAAGCGCGTGCCACGTCACCGCTCTCAGTGGGGAGCCTTGCTCCTCCTCCTCCACCTCCTCCTCCTCCACCTCTTCCTCCTCTCATGTTTCCCTTCTCCTCCTCCTCCTCCTCCTCCTCCTCCTCCTCCTCCTCCTCCTCTGCCTCTTCCTCCTCCTCTTCCTCCCTCCTCCTCCTCCTCCTCCTCCTCCTCCTCCTCCTCCTCCTCCTCCTCCCTCCTCCTCCTCCTCCTCCTCCTCACACCTCCTCCTCCTCCTCCTGCCTCCTCCTCCTCCTCCTCCTCCTCCTCTCCTCCTCCTCATCATCATCATCATCATCCTTCGCCTCTGTCTACTCCAATTTTCCTCCTCTCCTCCTCCCTCCTCCTCCTCCTCCTCCTCCGCCTCCTCCTCCTCATCCTTCTCCTTTCCTTCCTCCTCCTCCACCTCATTTCCCTCCCTCCTCCTCTTCCTCCCTTACTCCTCTTCTTCCTCCTCCTTCTACCTCCCTTCCTCCGCCTCCTCCCTCCCCTCCTCCTCTGCCTGCCTCGTCCACACTCCTCCTCCCTCCTCCTCCTCCTCCTCCTCCTCCTCCTCCTCCTCCTCCTCCTCCCCTCCTCCTCCTCCTCCCCTCCTCCTCCCTCTCTGCTCCTCCTCCTCCTCCTCCCTCCCTCCTCTCTCCTCTCCTCCCCTCCTCCTCCTCCCCCTCCCCTCCCCCTCCCCTCCCCCCCCCCCTCCCCTCCCCCTCCCCTCCCCCTCCCCCCCTCCTCCTCTTCTCCTCCTCCTCCTCCTCCTCCTCCTCCTCCTCTTCCTCTCTTCCCCTCCTCCTTCTCCTCTCCTCTCCTCTCCTCCTCTTCGTCGTCGTCCTCCTGCTCCTCCTCCTCCTCCTCCTCCTCCTCCTCCTCCTCCTCCTCCTCGGCGACGGCGACAACCCTGACCTTCCAGAGTGCTAAACAATAGTACCCCAGACCTATAGATCTATCTGGACTGCCTCAAACCTCGACAGGAATTAGGACGTCGACGTCCTGGTGCTATTTTTTAGCCCCCTTGGAAGGTCAGGGAACAATTGGACCAGGCACCGGGACGCAGACGACGGGCGGCGACGACGCGGCGGCGGGGCGGCGACGACGACAACAAGGTGGCGGGCCCGACACCAGTGCCAACGACGGGCAGCGACGAGGCGGCGCTGGGACGGCGACGGCGACAACGAGGCGGCAGACGACAACAAAACAGCGGACCCGACACGGGGGCCCAATTCCTCAGAACAGATGTAAGAAACCTACAGGGCAGTTTTTAACACATAGGGTTTTTAAACATATAGGATGTTTAATACATCATGTATGAATGAATGTATGCATGAACTCATCGTTGCTTTTGATACTAAATCCCTGCATTCTTAATACATGATCCGCACGCGGAGCATGTATTAAAAACGGCACTGTACGTGCAATCACTGTTTTGGGGTTAATAGCGCCATTGCATCGGAGAAGACCAGACACCAGACCAATCCCGGGATCAAGAGATACAAAACGGGTCCACGTGGAATTACATGGGATTTGATTGAATTGGACCGGTTTTCGACCGCGGATATACCATCCCAGCGCTGAGTTGAACATTCCAGGACTTGCACCCTAACGTTTACGCATCGCAGGGCCAAGGATGGCTCGCCAGGCAGCCGGCGCTGGCGAAGCCAATCGGATGGACACGATCGTGACGTCGAACCAGCCGTTGCCGTACTTGGCGGAGGCTTTCTCGCCATTCTTGAGGCCCCCGTCTTCCCTGCCAGGAAGGCGCGCTCACGACGCCCCGACATCTGGAGCCACAACCTCCCCTTTTCCTCCTCCCCAGACCCCATCGCGCCGCAACACGTCACTTTGCCTCGAGCGATCCCTGGCCGAGAGCGCAGGACGGGATCCCCAAGGGGGCATCGGCCCCCCTGGGGGCTGGCGGCCGCGTGCAGCCGCCACTCGCCAAACCCGCGGGGCGGGCTGCCCAGCGACCTCCCGGACACCCTGGGCCCCGCGGCCGCGGCACGCGGGGTGTGCGAGGTGGGTCGAGAGCTCTGTAGTCCTAACAGCCCTGACCGGTCGGGTGGGGAGCAGCTGCTGGCGATGCTCGGCGGCGCTCGGCTTCTGGAGGCCCTCGCCGGGCCCTGGGGCCCTCCACACAAAAAAACTGCATCAAGAGAGCCGGTGCCGGGGAAGGGGCCGAGGTATCCAGGGCTCCGCGCTGCGCGGGAGGTCCGCGCCTCCCGCGACGCGGGCGCACGGCGCCGCCGCGAACATCCCGCACGGCCGGCCCGTGCCCTGTGGCGACCTCGGCGTGTGGCTCCTGGCACCGCGTGGACCGTTCAACCTCGCAGCGTCGAGTCCTGCCGATCGCGCACGATGGTTCGGTTATCGGCGGGCTCCGCGCGCCCGCGCTGGGGCCGACGCTGCGGCGATGTACGGCCCGAGCCTTCAAGGGCCGGCAGCCCCGCTCCCGGGCACCCGCCGATCTGCTTGCTCAAAGATCCGCGGCCCCTGAGTTGGGCGTCGCTTGCTCAGGGGGCGATAAACCCTGACCTTCCAGAAGGGCTAACAAAGAGCACCAGGACGTCGACGTCCTCATTCCTGTCGAGGTTTGAGGCAGTCCAGATAGATCTGTAGGTCTGGAGCGCTATTTTTTAGCACCACTCTGGAAGGTCAGGGAAATGGGGTAGGGGGAGAGACATGTACTCCTCGGGCCCTGAAGGCCTCCTTTATGGCCCTAAAGGGCCCCCTTCAGGGTCCCTGAAGGGCCCCTTTCCTGCAGCCCGCGTTGCCCCCCCCCTCCCCCCCCCATCGCGAGGAGGAGGAGGAGGAGGAGGAGGAGGAGGAGGGGAGGGAGGGGGAGGGAGGAGGGAGGGAGGGAGGAGGGATGCAGAGGAGGAGGGAGGGAGGGAGGGAGGGAGGGAGGGAGGGAGGGAGGGAGGGAGGGACGCCCAATTGCGCGACGCCCAACAGAGGTCCCGACCCGCTCCCCCAGTTCTCTCTTCCCCACGCTCAAGCAATCCTCGCGGACGAGCTTGCTTGATTACTCTTCTGGTGTACTGCGGTCGGATCACAGATTTGGACCAGAATTCAAAAACTTGACCTCTCACGGAATGACCCTTGGAGTCGGTGCCCGTTTCTAGCGCGAGCGGTACAAAAGACCCTCCGCTCCCCTGGTGCCAACATTCTGCCCCAGACAGAATCTGGAGAGTGCCAGGGCCCGATGACTGGCCCCCGAAGTCCAGATCGAGGGGAAGTCGCCAGATCTTGAGCACAAGTCTTAAGTCGGGCCTGTCCCCCTACAGGGGGATCTCCGACGAAAAATAAAAAAAACCAAAAAAAATACAAACAATAATCAACATATAGTCTGGAGACTATTTTGTTAGTATTGTTTGACCTTTTTGGAGTATTTTTGCGTTTTTTTTGTTAAATTATGTTCCATCGAAAATCCCCCTCTAGGGGGACACGCCCGACATAACCCTGGTACCAGCATTCCGCCCCAGACAAAATTTGCAGAGTGCCGGGGCCCGATGACTGGCCCCCGAAGTTCAGATCGAGGGGAAGTCGCCAGATCTTGAGCACAGGTCCCGACGTCGGAGAGCGGGGCTTCGTGGCTCGCGGTCCTCCTTCCTCGTTCCTCGTCCTCGGCCTCCTCCTCTCTCGGGAGCGGCCAAAAGGGGGGGGCGTCCAAGAGGGGGGGGTGCAGATCATGACCGGCGGCATGTGCGCGGCCCAGGGGGGGGGGGCAGGGACGTAATGAACTAAGAAGAGGCGCCCTGAAATCTGGGGAAATATCAGGGCCTACGCCATGATATCCACCATCCCCTAGTCATCACCCCCCTCTTTGCCGCCCCCGACTCTTCTCCTTTTTTTAAAGGGGGGCGCGAGAGCGCGAGGCTGTTCTGGGCCTCCGGGCCCGACGACTGGATCCGGAGGCGGCCCCCGGATGGGGAGAGGGGGACGACGACAACAACCACCCAAACAAACAAATTGGGATGCACGTGTCCCTTCGACATCAAAGAGGGGGGATAGCAAAGAGGCGGGATAGCAAAGAGGCCTCCCGGGCCAGGTGAAAGGGGGGGATAGCAAAGGGGCGCCCATGCATTGAGGAACGGGCCTGGCGGCGGGGCCGAAACCAGCTGCATGCAGCAGATTTCGTAATCCCCCCTTTCCCAGTCCCCTCCTTTCGTCCGGCCCGAGCCTCTCAGATGCCTCGAGCTCACTTGCACCGCGGCTGTGCTTCCCTTCCTCCCCCTCTTCTTCTCCTGCCAACCCCAGGCGACACCTGACAAGAAAGCGCGGCGGCGGTGCCAAGCGAGCGAACGCATCCCTCCCGCCACAAACTCCCCCCCTTTCCTCGCCATCCCCATTGTTTTGTCTTTTTTTGTTGTTTCTTTTCCTCTCTCTCTCTCTCTCCTCGTTTCCCCGCGTCCTGCCATCCCCTCTCCCATCCTCTTGCTCCTCCTCCTGTGCCTCCACCTTCTCCTCCTCCGGCTTCCTGTCCTATATAGCGCACCAGGCCGGCGGCGCTGGCCGCAAGGCCCCCGAAAATGAGACCGCCAGGATCGAGAAGGCCAGATCCTCTCGGGTCGGGCGAAAGGGGGGGATAGCCCAGGGGGGATCTGATAATCAGCTCACGTCGCTGATTTTCTCGGCGCCTCCCGGCGCCGGAGGCGGCTATGTTTCGAGGAATGTGCCCCTCGGTGGGGCCGACGCCAGCTGCACGCAGCAAATTTCGTGACCCCCCCCCGTTCCCTGTATCCCCCCTTTCGTTCGGCCCGACCCTCAGAGGCCTCGGCACCGGCGACCGTCGAGGGCGACAGCGGCGCCGACGGCGCCCGACGGCGCCCGACGACGGCGCGGGCGGCGCCCGGGCGGCGCGCACGAGGGCGCGCGGGGGCGACGACCTCGTAGAGGAGGCGCGGGCCCCGCGTCTGCAGACGGGGCACGCGCCCTCCAAGAATGAAAGGGCTCCAGGGGGCACACAAATAAAAACACACAAACAAAAAGATGCCCCATATTTTTCCCACATTTGTTTGGGCTTCGTCTTCCCCCCCACTGCCCATATTTTCCCATATGCTCTGGGGAGTCGGCGATGAATTGTGTCTGTGTGCGTTTTTGTTCCCTCCCGAAAGCAGCCGGGCGTGCTTCTAAGAAGCGACTCCCCCCCCTCCGCCATGCCCCCCTTCGAGGGCAGAAGATCTTTCCCGAGCGGTGTGGCCAGAAAGCGCCCGCCACGACGCATATCCTATAAGATTTCTCGGTGCGCGCCTCGCCCCTGGGGGCGCGACGCACATATAATATAAGTATGTTAGGGTGGCGCCGATCCAAGCCCGGGCCCATGCGACCCTGGAACTGCAGGATCCTGCAGACTTGCGGCGCTCTGGCTGGCCCCCGTCTGCACTGACCCCCGTCTCTCGAGCTCCGATTTCGCTGCTCTCGGGCGGGTGGTGAAAGGGGGCGGCCCAAATTGGGGGTGAAGAAAAAGGACCCTAACGGGGACCTTTAGGGTCCCTGTTGGAGACAGCAGGGAGCGCGCCAGGGGCGGCGACGGAGGCGCCGCCAGGGGGTCCCAGCGCAGATCCAAGAAATCCGTGCGGACCTCCAAAAGTTGATGCTTGGTCTTGTTTTTTTGTTCCTCTACCTTTCTGCACCCCACACTTACGGTCACCCTCCATGGCCACCCGCCCGGCTTTCGCTCCTGACCACGGCGCGGGCACTGACCCCCCCCATCTCTTGAGCCCCGACTTCTCGGGCGGGTGGTGAGGGGGGGTGACCCGCCTGTGAAGGGGCCCTGGGACACACAGATAAATACACACAAATGACAGGACCCCCCATAGTTTTCTCCAATTCCTGGGTTCTTGTCTTCCTCCCCGCCCACTTCCCGTATCTTCCAATATTTTCTGGGGAATCGACGATTAGTTGTGTCTGCGTGTGTTTTTCCCTCCTGAACATGGGGGGTGGCGAAAAAGGCCCTGAAGGGAGCCCTTTCCGGAGCCGGCGGGGGCCCCAGAGGGGGCCCCACAGGGCTCCCTCTGGGGCCCTTTTCTTCGCCCCCCATCTGGGTCGCCCCCCCAGCGACAGCAACGACAGCGGTAACAACGATCGGTTGTGATCGCCGTGATCTCGTGATCGCTGTGATCGCTGTGATCGCTGTGGTCGTTATCGTTGCGATCGTTGTGATCGTCGTGATCGCTGTGATCGCTGTGACCGCTGCGATCGCTGCGATCGTTGCGATCGTCGGGATCGCCGTGGTCGCCGTCGTCGCCGTCGTTGTGCTCGCTGCGATCGCTGCCACGACCGAGCGAGAACTTCCCTCCTGACCACGGCGCGGGTCCCGGCCTGTCCGCCTTCTGGCCGCCCTCGCCCTCGCCCTCCTCGCCGCGCTCCGGGCCTCCACGCGCGCGGCCCCGCCGGAACCCCCCGGGGGGGGCCGCCGCCCGCCGCCCAGGCTGACTGTACCCGAAGACCCGAATGAGTTTTTATCAGTGTTTCTCCTCCTCCTCCTCCTCCTCCTCCTCCTCCTCCTCCTCCTCCTCCTCCTCCTCCTCCTCCTCCTCCTCCTCCTCCCCCCCTCCTCCTCCTCCTCCTCTCCTCCTCCTCCTCCCCTCCTCCTCCTCCTCCTGCTCCTGCTCCTGCTCCTCCTCGCTCCTCGCTCCTCGATCCTCGATCCCGGATCCCCCTCGCTCCTCGAGGCCTCCCCGCTGCTTGGGGGGGGGGGGTGCGGGCTTCACATGTGTTTGTTCCTGGTTCCCCGACCCTGGAGGGCAAATCGGGGCCTTCGGGTTGGGTCAGGGTGGTTTGGTGGGCGGTCCCACGCTGCGCCCGCCCCGAGATCCGGGGGCGTCCAGTAGGCTCCCAGAGGAGCGACGATCAGACACGGGTCTTGCAGTGGAAGCCCATGCCAAGAACCCCCCTGCTTACCTCCAGTGTGCCCTGGGTTTCTTGGGTTTCGATGGTTCTGCTATGGCAAGCGTGACGTTCCCACATCAAAGATCAATGGACGTCCTGGGGTCTCGGGGTGTGGTTTCTTGTGGAAGGCTTCTTGTGGTCGAGCTCCTACTGTACGCGAGATGGCACGGCGACCTCGCGCGGAAACTTACGCGCAGGCCGCGAGCGCGGCACGCCACACTGGAGACGGGGGCGCTCACGTGCGGCCTTGCGCGAGCAGCTTACGAGCCCATCTCGGTGAAGACGACCCTCTTTTTTGGGGGTCGCTCAAGTGGGGTCGGAGGATCTCGCCGCATCGCCGATACATCGGCGATGCATCGTCAATGCGTTGGCGATGCATCGGCGACGTCGGCGATCAAGCGGCAACGTCCGCGTGGAGAAGATCGGGCTCTGTATCGAGCAGCATCGTTGACGCATCGGAAATGAGGCGCGGTCCTCCGATCCCCATCTACTCCAACCCCATCTGGGAGGCCTAGAGTCCAAGACGGGGGCGCCCAGAAGACGAAGCCAAGACGAGAATAACATCGGGTGAGAATAGATCTAGAATCTCTGAGAGCCGGCGTCTCTGGAAGATGTCTCGGGCGCCGCCGCGGCCTTCTCAGCGTCCTAGAGCGCTCTGAGAGCGTTCCGGAACGCTCTGGAACGGATGTTTCCTTGTCCTAGCCCCGCCCGACTCCAAGAGGGGGTTTCGCAAATCATGGCCCAAGGAACATGCGCGGCCCAGGGGGAACCCAAGGGACGTCTTAATTTTCTGCGCTGGGTGTGTTCGTCTGGGTTGGGGCCCCAGGACCAATCCGGATCGATCCGGCTCCAATCATCAGAACTACTGTGCTACAGTCGTGATTTTTACTATACTTGTTATCTTTTTGGCAACGTCGGCAATACAAGGCCCCTGTGGGCCCGCGCAGGTCACTCTGGCGAAGGGTCACCCTCACGTGTATGATTAGCCGACCCTGCTCCTCTTCGAGGAGGGATCGAGAAGCCAAGTGCTGTGCGCCCTTGCTTGCTGTTGGTCTCCTGGAGGCCACAAGAAGAGTCCCCAGAAGCCCCCTGTGGACTGCGGGGGATCCCGTGGGACCTCCCCGATACGCCCGCCTGTGCTGACCCTGGGATCCGACGCCGGGAAATCACAGCGGGAGCCCCAGACCCCCACCTGCCTGTGACAGGCCCGGTCCAAGAGGGCCCCTGGGCCCGACGCCCGAAAAAAATGCCCGGCGGGCAAAAACTGCAACGCCTGGATCTCGTGGGTCGTTATCTGGGTCCCGCGGTCAAGCATCGACCCCTGGACTTCTTGCTGAATCAGATCTGACCAGAACTGAGAGTGAAACTTCAGCATCGAAGTTCGACGGTATGTCGTCGTCGTCGACGTCGTGGCTGTCGTCGTCGTCGACGTCGTGGTCGTCGTGGTCGTCGTCGTCGTCGAGGTCGTTGTCGGCGTTGTCTTCTTCGTCATCCTCTTCGTCGTCGTCCTCGTCGCCATCGTCATCGTCAAAATAGTCGTCGTCCGCGTCCTGGTCGTCGCGGTCATCGTCACGGTCGTGGTCGTGTTCGTCGTGATCGAGGTCGAGGTCGTGGTCGTCGTCCTAGTCGTCGTTGATGTTGTCGTCGTCCTCGTCGTCATCGCCGTCAACGACGTCGTCGTGGTTGTCATCGCAGTCGTCGTCGTCGTGGTCGTCGTCAAAGTCGTCGTCGTCGTCGCTTATGCGGCGTCCTCGTCGTCGTGCTCGTGGTCCTCGTCATCGACGTGTTCTTCGTCGTCGTTGTCGTGCACATACTCGTCGTCGTCGGCCTCGTCAAGATCGACATCGCCATCGCCCTCGTCGTCGTCCTCGTCGATGCCGTCTTAGCCGTCGTCGTCGTCGTCGTCTTCGTCGCCCTTGTCGTCGTCATCGACGTCCTCGCCATCTTCGTCGCCGTCCTCGTCGTCATCGACGTCTCATTCATCGTCGTCGTCGCCCTGGTCCTCGTTGTCGTCGTCGTCGTCCTCGTTGCCGTCGACATCGTCCTCACCGTTGTCATCCTCGTCGCCCTCGTCCTCGTCGTCAAGGTCCTCTTGTTCGTTGTCCCCATCTTCTTCGTCGTAGTCGTCCTCGTCGACGTCGTCCTCGGCGTCGGCGTCGTCGTCGTCGCGGTCGCTGTCGTCGTCGTCGTCCTCCTCGTCGTCGTCGAACTCGTCTTCGTCGGCAACGTCGTCTTCGTCGTAACCATTGTCCTCTCACTCGTCGTCGTCGTTCTCGCTGTCGTCGTCCACGTCGCGAACGTCATCGTCGCCGTCGTCGCCATATTCGTCGTCTCCTTAGTCGTCGTCCCCCGCGTCGTCGTCGTGGTCGTTGTCGTCGTCTTCGTCCTCGTCGTCCTCGTCTTCGTCGCCGTCGTCATGCTAGTCGGTGTCGTCGTCGTCATCGTTGTCTTAGTCGTCGAAGGTATCGTCCTTGTCGTCGCCGTGGTCCTCGTAGTCGTCGTCGGCGTCCTCGGCCTCGCCATCGTTGTCGTCGTCCTTGTCGGCGTCGTCCTCGTCGTCGTCGTCGCCGTTCACGTCGTCGTCATCGTCATCGTCGCAGTCGGAGCCTTATTCATCGTCCTCGTCAGCGTCGTCGTCCTCAACGTACTTGTCGACAGATTCGTCGCAGTCCGCGATGTCATCGTCATTCTCGTCGCCGTGGTCGTCGTCGTCGCCCTCGTCGTCGACGTAGTCGTCGTCGTCCTCGTTGTAGTCGTGGTCCTGGACGTCTTCAACGTCGTCGTCCTCGTCGTCGTCGTCCTCGTCACTTGCTTCGTCGTTGTCCACCTCGACAACGTCGTCGTCATCGCCGTCGTCCTCGTCGTCGTCTCCGTCGTCGTCGCCCTCGTAGTCGTCGTTGTCCTGGTCGTCGCCCTCGTCCTCGTCGCCGTGCTCGTCGTCGTCGTCGTCTTCGTTGTCGTCTTCGTCGTGTTCGCCGTGATCGTCCTCGTCGTCCTCCACAAAGTCGCCGTGATCGTCGCCCTCGTCGTGGAAATCGTCGTCGTGGTCGTCGTCGTCGTCGTCGTCGTCGACCTGTTCGTCGTTGTCGTCGTCCTCGCTGTCTTCGTGGTCGTCGTCACCGCCGCCATCGTCTCCGTCGTCGTACTTCTCTTCGTCCTCGTCGTCGTCGTCGTCATCGTCGCGGTTCCCTTCGTCGTCCTCGTCGCCGTCATCGTCCTCGTCGTCGTCTTCCTCGTCGCCGATCTTGTCGTAATCGTCATGCTCGTACTGATCGCTGTCGTCCGCGTCGTCGTCTTCACCATCGTGGTCGTCCGCGCCGTCGTCGTCTCCATCATCGTCGTCGTGGTCCTCGTCCTCATCGCGGGTGCCGTCATATCGTCATCGTCGTCCACGTCGTCGTCGTCGTCCTCGTCGTCCTCCTCGTCGTCGTGGTCGCCGCCGTCGTCAACGTCGTGGTCGTCATCGTCATCGTCGACCTCGTTGACGGCGTCGTCCTCATCATCCTTGCCGTCGTCGTCGTCGTCCTCGTTGCCGTGTCTTTGTCCTTGTCGTCCTAGTCGTCGTCGTCTTCGTCGTCTTCGTCGTCTTCGTGTACGTCGATGGTTTCATCGTCGCCGTCGTCGTCGTCGTCGTGGTCCTCATCGTCGTGGTCGTCGTCGTCGTCGGTCATCGTCCGTGTCGTCGTCGTGGTCGTCCTCGTCGTCGTCGTCCTCGTCTTCGTCGTTCTCATTGTCATCGTCGTCGTCGTCCTCGTCATCGTCGTCGGCGTGATCATCGTCCTCGTCGTCTTACTCGTCGCCATCGTTGTTGTCGCCCTCGTCGTCGCCATCTTGTTTGTCGTCGTCGCCGTTGTCGTCGTCGTCCTCGTCGTCGCTGTTCTCGTCGTCGTCGTGGTCATCGGCGTCGCCGTCGTCGGTCGGTCGTCGTCGTCGTCGTGGCCGACGCCGTCGTCGCCATCGTCGTCGTCGTCGCCGCCCTCGTCGTCGTTCTCGTCTTCGTCGACGTCCTCGTCTATAGCATCGTCGTCGTCGTCGTGGCCGTCGGCGTCCTCGTCGGTCGCCGTCATCGTGGCCGACGTCGCCGTACTCATCGTCGTCGTCGACGTCCTCGTCGTCGTCGTCGTTGCCATCGTCGTTTCCGTCTTCGTCCTCGTCGTCGTGGCCGACGTCGTCGTCATCGTCGTCGTAGCCGTCGTTGTCGTCGCCGTCTTCGTGTTCGTCGTCGTTCTCGTCTCCTTCGTCGTCGTCGTGGTCCTCGTCGTCGTGGTCGTCGTCGGCGTCCTCGTCGGTCGCCGACGTTGTGGCCGACGTCAGCGTCCTTGTCGTCGTCGTCGTCGACGTCCTCGTCATCGTCCTTGCCGTCGTCGTATTCATTGTCGTCGTCCTCGTCGTCGTCGTCGTAGTCGTCGTCGTCCTCGTCTTCGCCATCGTCGTCGTGTTCGTCGTCGTCGCCTTGATCGCCGTTAACATCGTCGTGGTCCTCGTCTTCGTCGAAGTCGACGTCGTCCTCGTTGTATTCGTCGGCATCGTTAGTGCCATCGTCGTCGGCGTCGTCACCGTCGTCGCCATCGTTGTCCGCGTCGTCATCGTCGTCGTGGTCGCCGTCGTCGTGGTCGCAATCGTCGGCCGTCGTCGTCCTGGTCGACGTCGCCGTCCTTGTCGTCGTCGTCCTCGACGTCGGCGTCGTCCTCGATCTTCTCCTGGTCGTTGTCCTCGTCGCCATCGCAGTCTTCATCGTAGTCGCCCTCGTCGACGTCGTCTTTGCCCCCGTCGGTGCCGAAGTCGTCGTCATTGTCGTAGTCGTCGTCGTCCTCGTCGTCGTTGTCGGCGTCGTTCTCGTCGTCGTCGTCGTCGTCGCACTTGTCCTCGTCGTCGTCGTCGTCCTGGTCCTCGTCGTGGTCTTGTTCGTCGTCGTCGTCTTTGTCGTCATCGACCTCGTCGTCGGAGTCCTCCTCGTCGTCCTCGTCGTCATCTTCACCCTCGTTGTCGTCGCCGCCCACGTCGTCAAAGAAGTGATCACCTTATTCGTTGTCGACTTCGTCGTCGTCGCCGTCCTCGTCGTCGTCGTGGTCGAACCCGTCGTCGTCATCCTCGTCGTCCTTGTCGTAGTCGTCTTGCTCGTCCGCGTCGTCGTCGTCGACGTCGTCCTCGTCGTCGTCGCTGAGGTCGTCCTCGTCGGTCGTCATCGTCGTCGTCGCCCTCGTAGTCGTCGTCGTCCTGGTCGTCGTCTTCGTCGTCGTTCTCATCAGCGTCGTCCTCGACGTTGTCGTCGTCAGCTTCATCGTCGTCCTCGTCGGCATCGTGGTTCTCGTCGTCGTCGTCCTCGTCGTCGTCCGGGTCGTCGTCCTCGTCGTCGTCGTCCTCAACGTCGTCGTCGAGGTCCTCGTCGTCGTCTTATTCGTCGTCGTCGCCTTATTCCTTGTCGTTGTTTGCGTCTTCGTCGTCGTGCTCGTCGTCGTCGTCGTCCTCGTCGTCGCCGTCGTCGTCGTGGTCTTTGTCGTCACCAGCCTCGTCGTCGGTATCCTCCTCGTCGTCCTCGTCGTCGTCGCCACCCTCGTCGTCGTCGTATTCTTCGTCATCATCTTATTCGTCGTCGTCGTCGTCCAAATCTTCCTCGTCGTCATCGTGGTCCCCCTCGTCGTCTTGTTTATCGTCCACGTCGTCGTCGTCTTGTTCGTGATCGTCGTCGTCCTCATCGTCGCCTTATTCGTCGTCGTGCTCCTCGTCGTCGTCGTCCTCGTCGTCCTCGTCGTCGTCGTCCTCGTCGTCGCCGTCGTCGTCCTCGTCCTGAACATCGTCGGTCGTCGTCGTCTTACTCGCCGTCGTCCTCCTCCTCGTCGTCGTCCTCGTCGTGGTCCTCGTCGTCGTCATCGTCGTCGTCGTCTTCGTCCTCGTCGTCGTCTTCATCGTCGTTGTATTCGTCGTCGCCGTCGCTTTCGTCGTCGTCTGATTCGTCGTCGTTCTCCTCGTCGTCGTCCTCGTCGTCATCACGGTCTCCGTCGTCGTCATCATCCTCGTCGTCATCGTCGGTCGTCGTCGTCGTGGTCGATGTCGTCGTCCTCCACGTCGTCGTCGTCTGTACTCGTCGTCTGTCCTATTCGTCGTTGTCCTCGTCGTCGCCGTCGTCGTCGTCCCCTGGCTGCGGGCCGGCCTCCCTCGGCGCCGTCCACCTTCTGACGCTTCTCGGCGGGCTCGCCGCCATCTGCGCCGTCGGCGTCCGCCGCGGCCTCGAAGGGGGGCAACGGCAACGGCGTCGTAAATGCATCGCCGATGCATCGGCGACGTCGGCAGTGCATCGGCGACGCCAGTGTGGAGAAACTCGGGCTCGACGCCGAGCCGCATCGCTTAGGCGACGCGATGCGACGCGATGCCCTGACTCCATCTACTCCGACCCCATCTAGAGGAAAGAAGGTACCGATACTGGTAATTACCCTCCCCTCGTTCTCGACTTTTGGGCCTCCTGGGAGGCCCTTGTCGCCTCGGCCGGCGTCCCCTGGAAACTCGGGCCAGAGCGCACCCCAGGAGAGGCCGGCGGAAGAGCAGCAGCGGTGTCCTATTGCCCCCCCCAGAAGGGGCGAGACGATCCCAGAGAAGAGAAAGAAGGGACAAAGGACTCTGCCTCATCCGCGCACGCGCCGAAGCGGAGCAGGGCTCCGTGGATCTGGCGCGCGGGCGCCAGACTGACGGATCGAGGCGAGACATGAAGCCGGCGCCGCCTGGTTTGGCGGCGGAGCGTCTCGAACTCTGACAGGAGCGGGGCCCGTCGCTGATCCACGCGCTCACAATCTGAAGGGGGAACGTGAAGGGGCCCCGGGACACGTAAATAAATACACACAGATAAAAGGATACCCCATATTTTCCCAGATTTTCGGGGTTTTTGTCTCCCCCCCCAGTTCCCATATTTTCCCAGATGTTTTTTTGGGAATCGACGATTAATCGTGTCTGTGTTTTTTTTTTCCTCTCCTGAGAACGGTCAGGGGGCACCGGCTCAAAGAAGGAAGCATCGAGCCGGAAGCGGCAACACATCGCCGAGCAGCCCCCCGGGCGGGGTGGGGCGATCGGGCCCCCCTTATATTCGGCGAAGGACTGGCGGTCGGGGGTCGATGCGTCCCACGCTACGCTCGTCCAGCCCTAGAGTTGCCTCTGATCCTCGACTCTGACTCTGATCCTCGACCTCTAGGCTTCGGGCCCCTCGAACCGCCTCGGGTCTCTGGCGGCCGTTCGCGGCGCTCCCTTCATCCCCAGAGCACTCTCGGCGAGGCGCAGCCGCCGGGAGGCACCCCGAGGCTGGAAGGCTACCAGGAACCGTGGAAGCTTCAAACCTCAACCCGCCCAGAAGAATCGATCCTGGGACCCTTCCTGGGGCGCGCCCTACCCAGCATTTTTCGAGGCGGACCCGCCCGTGGCCACCAGGGCGCCCCAGGACGATCCAAAACCGTCCGGCCAGCAAGCCCCGAGCCTCGAACCTGGAACCTCGGAGCCCCCCCCGCCTCATGGGCCGATTTTCCACCACCACTGCCAGAGGTAGGAACGGGAGGAGGAGGAGGAGCGGAAGGGGGAGAAGGGGGAGGAGGAGGGGGAGGAGGAGGAGGAGGAGGAGGAGGGGAGAAGAGGAGGAGGAGGAGGGGGAGGAGGAGGAGGAGGAGGAGGAGGAGGAGGAGGAGGAGGAGGAGGAGGAGGAGGAGGAGGAGGAGGGAGGAGGAGGAAAAGGGAGGAGGAGGAGGAGGAGGAGGAGGAGGAAGGGGAGGAGGAAGGGGAGGAGGAGGAGAGGAGGAGGAGGAGGAGGAGGAGGAGGAGGAGGAGGAATAGGCCTCTCTTCTCCCCCGCCCTGACCATGGCAATGGTGGTGGAACGCTCCCCTCCCCGCCCCGCCCCGGCCCGCCTCGCCCGCGCCCTCGCCGCGCTCGCGCTTCTCGGGCGCCCCCTCTGCGGGCGCCTCCCCCGTCGGCGTCCTGGGCTCGGCCGCCTCCGCCATGGGGCCCCGGGCCTCCCGCGGCGCCCTCGCCCCGCGCGCGGCGGGGGGGCGCCCCCCCGGGGGCCCTGAGGATCTCCGACGGCGTGCTTTCCGGCTCGGCCCCGGCGCTCTGCCCCCCCCCCACACTCGAAGTTGGGCGATCCTCTGGTCAGAGCGATTTGAAACATGCAGATACCGTCGGTGCCTTGACCTAAGGAACCCTAAATAAGGAACGAGGCCCCTTTTTTCCATAAGTTAACCTTCGATTTCCTGTCGAAAACATGAGGAAAGCGTGAGGCAAGCTGTGAAACACTTAAGGAACGCGGAGCCCCTCCCCAATGAAAAGGGTTCCTTCTTCAGGGCCCCGACTGTACTCGCAAGGAGCGCTACTGATCAGATTCGTCAAACTGCTGTGCCGAACAGCTCTAATCTCATCTGCAGCTCGACATCAAGAAAGGCATCGTCATCTCTGGACAAAAATTCTAGAGTATCCTCCGCACACCCCCCGCGCAGCCCCTCCGCCAGTCACCAGTGCACAACGCGGATGCGCCAGGGCCACGCGCGCGCTTCTGCGCGCCGAGGCTCCGGAGCAGACCCCAGCGCGGCCGCAGGACATGGGCCGACTGCCGCGGAACGTCTTTCCCCCTGCACCCCTGCACCAGGAGGGGACCAGGGATCCTCTCTGCACCTTGCCGACACTGCTAATTTGCATACTTAGTGGGATTGGGGACTCCCCTTCACTCCTCCTTTTCCTCCCAGTTCTTCGCCTCCTGCTCCCTTCTTTCCTCTTGTTCATCCTCTCACCTCCGCGTCTGGCCGTTCCTTTTCAACCCCCTTCGCATCCGTCTCCCGCTTCTGATGCTTCTGCCTCCTCTCCGCACCCGTTGTTTCATCCCTGTTCTTCCTATTATTCTCTTCTTCCTTCTCCTCATCCTCCTTCTCCGTCGTATCATTGGGGCAACCTCCTTCCAGAAGATTTCCCCATCCTCCTGCCCTTCCTCCTATCCGTCCTTCCCCACCCACTCTCCGGCGGAAGGGGAAATGGCGAAGAGGATAAGAGGAAGGGGGACAGAATGGAAGGAGATTGGAAGGCGAGGAAGAGGGGCAGAAGGCGAATGGGGGCGAGAGAGGGGGAGGGCGAAAGAAAAGAGGAGATGGGGGACGGTCAAGCCAGATGCGCTCACGCCACATCTGACATCCTACCCTTCCCACCTATCCCCTCCACCGTGTCAATTCACCTCTATATCTGCCGAGTGGGTGTCTGGAAGATTTCTGGGGCTCCCAACCCCCAACTCCGCGCTTCGCGCTCCGCGAAGCGCGAACCACTTCGCGCTCTCGCGCCCCTCCCCCAGAGGGAGGAAAGGAGGACGAGGACCCTGACCTTCCAGAGTACTAAAAAATAACACTCCAGACCTATAGATCTATCTGGACTGCCTCAAACCTCGACAAGAAGCAGGACGTCGACGTCCTGGTGCTATTTTTTTGCCCTCCTGGAAGGTCAAGGGAGGAGGGGGAGAAGGAACGAGGACCGCGCAGCGCGAAGCGCGAAGGACTCCGCGCCCTCGTGGGAGCCCTGGAAGCCTTCGGGCCAGAAAGGGCGGCCGCAGAACCTGCCCCGTGCGCTCTGCGGCAGCACGCCGGCTGCAGCGGGAGCAAGCGGGATTAAGCAGGATTCAGCGGGATTACACGTCGGTCGGAAGAAGTAGGTAGAAACATGAAGAAGGAAGGCGGATATAGTAGATTGGGTCCAGGTCCTCCCAGAGAATAACAAAATACAGCAAAAGCATGTCGATTCTTGAAGTAGGAAGGCGCTTGAAGTAGATTGGGATATGGGAATCCAAAAATACCTACTTTCAACGACCGGCGTGTAAGCTGGATTGAGCCGGATTTCGCACCAGGGCGAAAACAGAATTTGACCTCCCAGGACCCTGACCTTCCAGAGTGCTAGATAATAGCACTCCAGACCTACAAATCTATCTGGACTGCCTCAAGCCTCGACGGGAATTGGGACGTCGACGTCCTGGTGCTGTTTTGTAGCCCTCCTGGAAGGTCAGGGCTGGATTAAGCCGGATTTCGGACCAGGGCGAAAACAAAATTTGACCTCCCAGGAGCTGCACCCGAAGAAAGGGAAGGTCTGGATACCTCCCTGGGACCGGTCTTCCCCATCCAGGAGATCGGCTTTTGCCGGCCCCGGGGCCCGGGAGAGGGCCCCCATGACCCTGACCTTCCAGGAGGGCTAACAACACAGCACCAGGACGTCCACGTCCTGATTCCTGTCGAGGTTTGAGGCAGCCCAGATAGATCTGTAGGTCTGGAGTGCTGTTTTGTTAGCAGTCTGGAAGGTCAGGGTTTTCTCATCCAGGATCGGTTTTTGGTGGTCCCGGGGCCTGGGCGAGGGCTCCCATGAGGCCGAACACAGGGAAACAAAAACCTCCCGTCGGGAGGTTGTTCGCAGCGCGAGGGAGTCGGGAATCTCGGCCCCGCCTGGGGCGGCCTGGCGAGGGCCCCCGGAAGCCGAAAATTACGGAAAACCTCCCGTCGTGTTAAGTCGGGCCTGTCCCCCTAATTACAAGGGGATCTTCGAGGAAAAATTCGCCGGCCCAACGGGCCAGAGGCGTGCTAAGATCTCCGGTAACTGGTTAACAATATTTCTAGTTCGCGCGCGCGGAGCGGCCCCTGGGGGCCCCCGAACGAAGAGTACCCCGGCAAGAAGGTCCCGGGAGAAGCCACCAAAGCACTCCAGGGGAGGGCCATTTTTCGACACTCCTCACGAGGATCGTGGCCTCAGAGGGGGGAGCCGCAACCGACTAAGCCCCCTCCCGCCCCAAGAGGCACCCAAAGCCCCCCAAGAGGCCCTGGGGGCCCCAAGACGCCGCCAAGGAGCCCCAAGAGACTCCCAAGAGGCCCCCAAGAGGCCCTAAAGAGGGCTCCAGGGCCGGCGGAAGGAGCGAAGCGATAAAATAAAAAATAATCCAAACATGCTCCAACATGGTCAAAACATAACAGGAAAAAGATTCCCCAGACTATGTTTTACTGTCTTTGACTATTCCTCCTGTATCGGCGGTGGACAAACCTCCCTTTCGTAGACCTCCCCCTATGGAAAACGGCCTGGGGCCGAAATCGACGGACCTGGACCCGCAAAAATGACGGCCGCGACGCCCTCTCGCGAACCGAAAACGGCCAATTCCTTCATGGACGTGGCAGGGTAGGAGGTCTATCAATCTCCGACTGTAGTGGGACAGGCCCGACTTCACCGTCGTGCTGCTTTCCATGAAGGGGCCCTGGGACACACACATAAATACACACACAAATAAAAAGATTCCCCATATTTTCCCATATTTTCTGGGTGTTTGTCTTCCCCACCACTTCCCATATTTTCCCATATTTTCTGGGGAATCGACGATTAATTATGTCTGTGTGTTTTTCCCTCCTGCTTTCCACCGCGCGAGGAGGTCCGGGGAGAGTCTCGGCCCCGCCACTGGGCGCGCGGCGGGCCAGGCGGCCGCGGCGCCCGCGGCGCCCCTCCTCGAGGCCGGCCGCCGCCAGGCTTAAGCCGGGCCTGTCCCCCTACAGGGGGATTTTCGGCGAAAAATGAAAACATACCCCCAAAATAACCAGGAAAGAAGCAAAAACAGTCTGGGGACTATTTTCTGAGTATTTCTTTGCCTTTTTAAAGTATTGTGGGGGTATTCTGTTTATTTTTCGTCGAAGATCCCCCTGTAAGCGGACACGCCCGACATAACGCCGGGGCACGGGGCGCCGGGGCCCCCGCGCGGAGGGCGCCCGCGCGGGCGCCCGCGGCGGGCGGCGGGGTGCGCGCCGCCCCGGGGGGCGCTGCGCGCCGCGGGGGGGCGGGCGGCGGGCAGCACGAGCGGCGGGCGCGGCCGCCGGGGGCGTCGGAGATCGGGGGCTTGACACGACGGGAGGCAGGGTCCTGGGGTCCCTCGCTGCTCCTCCTCCTCCTCCTCCTTCCTCCTCCTCCTCCTCCTCCTCCTCCTCCCTCCTCCTCCTCCTCCTCCCCTCCTCCTCCTCCTCCTCCTCCTCCTCCTCCTCCTCCTCTCCTCCTCCTCCTCCTCCTCCTCCTCCTCCTCCTCCTCCTCCTCCTCCTCCTCCCCCCCCCAAAGGAGGGGGATGCCTTCCTCTCCCGTGGGTTTCGCGGCGTCCGTCCCCCTGGGTCACCCGCGAGGGCGCGAATGACGGCCGCGCTTCACGCGTCGCGGCAGGGGCCGCCGAGCCGACCCTGACCTTCCAGACTGCTAACGAAACAGCACCCCAGACCTACAGATCCATCTGGGCTGCCTCAAACCTCGACAGGAATCAGGACGTGGACGTCCTGGTGCTGTGTTGTTAGCCCTCCGGGAAGGTCAGGGTCCTGGGGGCCCTCGCCCAGGCCCCGGGGCCAGCAAAAGCCGATCTCCTGGATGGGGAAGACCGGTCCCAGGGAGGTGTCCAGACCTTCCCTTTCTTCGGGTGCAGCTCCTGGGAGGTCAAACTCTGTTTTCGCCCTGGTCCGAAATCCGGCTGAATTCAGCCCTGACCTTCCAGGAGGGCTAAAAAACAGCACCAGGACGTCGACGTCCCAATTCCCGTCGAGGTCTGAGGCAGTCCATCTAGATCTGTGGGTCTGGAGTGCTATTTTCTAGCACTCTAGAAGGTCAGGGTTGACACGACGGGAGGCTTTTCCTCATTGGGGGGCCCTCGCCAGGCCGCCCCAGGCGGGGTCGAGATTCCCGACTCCCTCGCGCTGCGGAAAAAAACTCCCGGCGGGAGGTCTTTGTTCCCCGGTGTTCGGCCTCCCCTGACCTTCCAGAGTGCCAGAAAACTAACACTCCAGACCTACAGATCTATCTGGACTGCCTCAAGCCTCGACGGGCACTGGGACGTCGACGTCCTGGTGCTGTTTTTTAGCCCTCCTGGAAGGTCAGGGGAGGAGGGGGGGGTGCAAATCGTGGCCCGGGGCGCGTGCACGGCCCGGGGGGCGGCAGGGGGCGTGCTGAACTTTGGGGGAGAGGCGCCATTTG